GTCACGAAAATTAAAATATTTTTTTAATTTAACGAATCTTCTATTGAAATATTAATAAAATAAGGATTATATTAAATTCAAGAAATTGTTGTCAGTTATCATTAAGCTATAGAAAAAAAATAGACAAATAAAATAATAAAGTATTTTTATTATAGAACATATTATTTGACCGGATATTATGTCACTACGTTTTGAAAAAATGTATATAAGATATATTATGCAAGAATTTTAAATCGTAATATTTCCCCTTTAACTTTTTGGACGACTCCTTTAATAAAAGCGAGTTTATACTTTACTGTTCCAATAAAATTTACAAACATAATTATAAATGATTATAAATATTAATTTTTAATGTTAATTCAACGACTAAAAAATTATCAAAGAATTTTTTAATAATTTTAATGTTAGTATATCATAATTGAATGAATTTGCGTAAATAAAAATATTTTTTCTTCGGGCATGTTTCAAGTTTTCGCAATCACTGTGAAAATATAAAATCTTCATTCAACAGCCAATTATTTTTAGCTCAAAATATAAATCACCCTCACTATCCATATTGTTAGTGTAAATCTGTCTAATATTGTAAATGTAACATTCAAAAGAATAAATAAAACTTTAATTTTACTTCTTCACATCTAATATAATATGTATTTTTTTTCAAACTTAAAATTTTAACAATACCAAATAAAAATAAAGCTTCAAAAATCCATGCTAAAAAATTTTAAATGATATTAGTTTTACTAATTTAACATATATAAAAGAAAGTTTGTTTAAAAGTACATTTTAGAAAATTAAAATTTGAATTATTTAAAGCAATAAATTTAAAAATGAAATTTATTTTAATAACAGCATGTTAATTGAATAAATGAAAAAAATAGAAGTTATGTTAAGATTAAAATCAAATTTTATTAAATTATATCTTAAATACTTATAAAATGTATTTCTAATGAATTATAGTCATAATATTTTATGTTATACTTTAAATCTGGAAAACAAAATAAAATTGCATAAAATAGTGTATAATCTGTATAGTATGTATAATATTATAACTTTTTACAAAAACACTAATCATAATATAAAATATGATAGTTTACGAGGTTTTTCATTGATCACAATTTCTTCGCTTTCATAATCCAGTTACTTCCTTCTTTATTTATTTTCTTAAAATACTAATAAACAATGCCTTTAAACAATTACGTTGTTTCTGCGAGGATCAAAATTACAGATTCGGCTCCTAAATCACTTTTTTGTTTTCGTTATTCTGCTATGTTTTTATTACAAACCTATATATAACTATTAAAATACTTTTACATAAATATTAATACATACATTAACACTCCATTTTAATATTTCGAGTACAACTATTATTTTTCATTATTATATGTTTTATTTTCATGCATACAAAAACTGGTACTAAAGTTTAATTTAACCATATCTATCAAAGAAATATATTTTTAATCTATTACAATTTTTAATAATTTACCAATATTATATTAAGAATATTAAGATTAACACGTGTTTTGCAGTAAATTTAACCTATAAAACTATTTCAATTTTTTGATTAGTATGTATGATGACATCCCTTGGGTAATCGAAACAATAATATACTAAACAATCAAATAACAATTCTATTAATAAATAATTTACCATCAAAATTGTTCAACCTATTTCGATTTAAATTTTATATTAACTTTATCAAAAGTACATTCGAAATGTATGTAATAAAATGGTTTTTTTTCGTTATATATGAATGTTAACAATATCGAAACATATTATCTAATTTTGAGAAATCCTGTATTTAGAATTCTAAATTTAACTAAGGCAGTGAATTGTAATCGGCTCATGTTTCCACGATTGAATGTGGTTTATTTTCGTTTCAACTTATTGTACCTCGGCGCAAGACGTTACCTATAGTCATAAATATGATTTAAAAATCAATGACGCATATATATTACGACCCACTTGATTCCGGTCGAAGGCACTGGAGTGTTGTTTTCAGGACCAACGGTTCAGTTGGTTTATGATACGATAGAAATGTAATCCATGGTTTTCTGTGGTCAATAATTTCTGTATTTTGGAATAGAAAAAAAAAAACTTTATGAGCTCAATAAGATCCCCACTCGATGTTACATTTTATTAACCCACGTATGATCATTATAAAAAAAAAAAATAAAAAAAAGTTTAAAAAAAACATAAGTTGTAACTTTATCATGTAAAACCATTGTTAAAAGACACAATACTAATGATTTAATTTTTTTATAACTTAACATTTTTTTAATTATCTAATCTATATCTTACAAGCTAAATTTTAATTTGAGGCCAAGACTAAATACATAGATATTAACATACTATATCCAATATTATAACACAATTAAATTAACAATAACATTATTAGTTGCAATTTAGGGAGAAAATTTAAAACCCCGAAAACCAATTTTCGATTTTATTTTCTAGGTTGTCAAAATGTTCGCTGTAGTAGTGATAATTTTTTTAATTTGTTGGTTACCTTATCACTCGTATTTTGTATACGCATACCACAACAAAAGTATAGTAATCAAAACATATGTGCAAGATTTGTTCCTGAGTTTCTACTGGTTAGCAATGTCAAATTCGATGGTGAATCCGATAATCTATTATTGGATGAATCCTAGGTAAGTGTTAATTGTCTAGTCGTCATGGTATTGTTGAATAACTGATAAATATTTTGAAAACAGATTCAGAGCTTATTTTAAATTGATCATATGCTACTGTGGAGGCTTAAGAAACTCTGACAAAGCTACTATTGATTTAAACGTAATTCGAATAAACGGTGAATCTCAATATTACTTGACTCGATCCAAATCAGGTAACTTATTTAAAATACATGAAAAAATAATAGAATAGAACTGTATATTGTAGAATTCAGACATAACCCATTAAATATCAAAACAAAAAATTAAAGGTAGATAGGTAGAAAAAATATTTTTTTATAATAAAAAAACTTTTCAAATTCATGATTAATTAGATGTTAAATTATTACTATACAATAGGAGATAAAATATTGATCAGTTAAAATTTGCATAAGAATAGACAATGTCATAAATATAAAACGAGAGGAGCAAAGAGAAAAAATCTAACTATAGACATGAATTTAATAGTTTTGAAATAAACAATATTACCTATACTAATTTTCAAAAACAAAAACTAAAAAGTTATTCACTTTAAATTAATTACCGGTGTACTAATATTAGTGTACTGAATAAATCAACCTAAAATTAAAAATCAATAAAACTACTTATTCTAGAACACAATATTCTGACATGACTTACATAATTTTTTAACGTAGATATTTGAGTGGCATTATTTAAAAAATTTCGTGTTTTTTTTTTTAATTTTCTTAAATTTATTTTTAATTACACTTTACATTACCATTGGTTTTCAACATAAAGATACGACTAATTTATAGTTAAGTAGCTTTTGAAATTCTATAGTGGAACGATTAACCAGGTCCAGTATCATTGGGAGTCCAACACTTACGGCGTCCACCAGAAACCCAAGTATTGTGTCTACCCAGAGGCTACAGCGAAGTAGTACGTCATCCTCCAAAAACACAAAATAATCAAGAAACAAATGCTATTCAAAGGTAAAAACACAAAGTGTGAATACACTTCAAAGTTAATAAAGTAATCACGTCATTCTCAAAAATTAAAAACATAATAAAAATTGATTATAAAATGTAATGCTTGTCAGAACTCAAAAAAAAAAAAAAATGAATTACATTATTATAATATTTTTTATTAGCATAAACTATGTCTTTGTAATAAATTGGACATGATATAACACTAATCATAAAATTTCACATTATATGAAAAAAATGTAATTTAAATTTTCAATTAAAATTTTTTCATTTTTATATCAGCTATTTAGGTTAAGATTTCATTACATTCTATAACCTTAAAATAGAACATTAAATAACGTATTTACTTTCATATTCATTGAAATACAACATAATATTTGTATAGACAAATCCACAATATTACATTTTTTCTTAGTAAACAAATTTAACATAGAATAATTAATGTATGGCAACTATTTTTGATACTTTTATTTAAATTCAGCTTGCAAAATTGTTCATCATTACTCTCGACATTTCGGATGTGTATTTTATATTAATATTTAATATACATATGCTTTACAGATAAATTATAAATAAATTATTAAAAATTTTTTGAACTTTTGGTAACCACTATTATATAAAAAAAAAACAAAATAATATCTTCTATGTATATGTCTATTTTAGTCTTTTCTATAAAATATTAATACATTATATTTGATATTTGATATTTTAGACCATAAGTAATAAGTACCAAATACTTACCATAAAAATATTTTTCAAAAATTATAAGATACCTTAAAACAATGTTATCTACTACAATTGAGTGGTTTTTTAATTATAATAAATAAACGGAGATAATGATCTGAAATTAACTCTCTCAAAAAATGAAATTTATACTTAAATAAATATTAAAACGAAACTTTTTATTTATTGAACAGCTAAGTAAAATATTTTTGAATATTGTTAACATTATTATTAAAAAAAAACTAAAAAGTTAAAACGTATTAGCCATTATATTTCTAAACAACTTAACCTTTACATTTAATTCTTATACAGTTATAAACAAAATTTTACAACAAGTTGTCACCAATCATACGTAATACATTTGTATACAACATATATTACTATTTTTACCATCTTTTTTTAAATAATCGTGACTTTATCAATAATTTTTAAGACGAAAATAAATAATGATCATACCATTTATTCCAAACATATACTATTATATATCATTTTCAATAAAACTATTAAATAGTGTGTATATAATTATATTTTAAATATGTATAAATAACTATAAATACTACGACTATAAAAAAACAACTTTTTTTTATTACTATTTTTATTTCAATTTGAGTATAAATCAATTAATACATATTTTACTATTAGTTCTAGGCTTCAGAAACTACAGAAGACTAGAAAACTTTCTACACAGAAGCTTATCGATAATCAATGATGTCAATAATGAATATTGTATGAAGATTCCATTTTTGAAAATCTAAGATTTATTGTAAATAATACGACGACAGCCATTTTTGAAAAATTTCCATGTCACTTGGTCCCGTGTAAATACCTATCAAATATTTAAAAATAATTCTGTTAAATAATAATGTTATGTTGGTAAAAAATATACACGTATTTATTTATTTATTTATTTATTTATACACTTTCATGAAAAAATTTTGAAAGATAGTTTTAAAATAGGTAAATTAAAAACGTCATGTTGATTAGATTCTTCATAAGTTGTTTTTACAAGAATTAAAAAAAAATGAGTATACGAAAAAATCCACAATAATTTTTATCAAAGTTTAAAGTAAGAATTTTGACAATTAATATTGTTAAATTCGCAACAATCTTCAAATTATTTTATAGTTGAAATTTTCTAAAATGTTTTATACTTAAGCCTAAAGTTTTAAAAATAAATACAAGGTTCTTTGTGAGATTTTATTACCAATTTCTTATCAAACCTTTTTTATATTTTTTTATAATTGAGAAAAAATAATTATAAATGCTTAAAATTAGCACCATCTTTTTTTTATCATTGTCTATAAATAGCATAATTTCAAAATACGTCATCTCTTTTGAACTATTTACAGACATTTAAAATTTATTTTTATAAATGTGTATAAAAAAATTTTCACTGGATCAAAAAGCTTGAAAATTTAATGAAAAATTCCTCATAAGTTTTTATTAAAACTATTTAAAAATATTAAATACATAAAGTTACAATTTTTTTTTACTAAAAATATTGAATATAAATCCACAATTTTTTTTAATATTTATTAAAAGTTAAAATTTTGACAAAATTTATTTTAACAATAATGAAAAATAAGTAATAACATTTTTAATTATTTTGTTTTTACTTTTTATTCATAAGGACTTAAGACACGTATATCAATATATTTTATAATAGGCGCACAAATAAATTTTCAATACATATTTAGATTATTTTGAAGCTAATGCCTATTTATGTATATCATGAACCTATTCATACCTTTCTACGGTAAGCAGTATTTATCCAAAATTTAATATCAATAACTTTTATAAATATTTACCATTTTAAACGCTAAATATTAATAATCAAATAAATGCAATGTACCTATTTTTTTCATATTTTTCATCCTGTTCCTACTTACCATAAACAGTAGAAGTCGAATCGTCTCTTTTCCCGTTAGATTTTACTGGTATATATGATCCTTTCTGAACTCGATTACCAGCATCTACAATTTATATTATTTTTATAATTTAATAATTTTATGAAATCAAGTAAACATTGTAAAGACTTACCTTTAGAAGTGTCCTTACCCAACATAAAATCTATATTAACAAAAATAATGAAAGTAGTATAATTAATCAATAATTTTGACATTCTAATGAAACTACTCACTTTTAAATTGATTTCCTCTTTTTGTAACAATACTGGAGGCTGTTCTTGCTCTAGCTTTTGCTGACTGGGGTACTATATCACATAAAAACAAAAACAAATATTTAACCCCAGAAACTTCTACAAATTCCACATAGTTCTTCAGAGAACTTTTATGAGCTAGAAGTAGCAGTAATAAACTTATTTAAAATAAAAACAGATACCTATACTCACGGTAAATTTAACACTATCGTTAATAACTTATGTCTAAATAAACTTACTATCCGAAGAGAATATAATTTTACAGGTTCGTTCAACGACACCGTCATCTGTGATAAGAGAAGGATGGCAGTAGTAAACTATAAAAATATATAAGGTGATAAGATTTTTATAGATATAGTTTCAAATTTATTTCATTACTGAACAAATAAAACTTACGTGGCAATTCTTTCAGAAATGTGTCGCTATATTGTTGAACATTTTTCTCTTGGACGGATTCTTCGAAAATAAAAAAAAAGGTTAGATTAATATAGTCTAATAATATATTTATTATTATAAGATACCGTATACAATATGTATATACATTATACTTATTGTTGTACATGCTATGCTTACCTGTAACGAATGTTATGATTATAATAGTCAAATAGCAAATGAACAAAAAACACACTCTGAACGGCTTCATTTTTCAAATAGAAGATTTCTGTAGGATACTTTGCAATTTATAGGAGTATTACAAAGAATAAAAACATAAATATATATATGCATGGCGATCAAACACAGGCAAAAAGTCTATTATACCCGAGAGAGTTACGCGATTCAAGATTTATCTCGTATTGTTTTAGAGTATTTACTCATTATTTCCACTTCGATTGGATTGTCTTTTACATTCGGATGACGTAAGTATAGCCATTATACATATATATATATATCAATTTCAATACCCTACCCGTAAATTTAAAATGTTGAATTTTATACGATACACAACATGTGCATATAATTTTTACTTTAAGTATTTCAAATCGTAACTTTGATAACATTTTAAGTAATCTATACCCTCATTTCTATACATAATTAATATTATTTATGTTTATTAATCATCAGTTAACATCAAACTGTAAATAAACTATGAGGCAGAGAGGTTTAAATTTTAAACTTTAAAATAACAATATACATATATATATGTATGTATCAATTATACACGAGCACATAATAGGTAACTTTATTATTAAGCTATAATATATAACTTGGTAACTTAAGAAAATTCAAGTTTTTACTAGCTTAACATGTCGAAAATATATTTTAAATTTTTAATAGAAAAGCATAGTAAATGAATATAAGAAACAAAGAGAGCTATTGAATAATACAAATTAAAACATTCTATAATTAAAATTATAATTTAATTAATTGTTAATACTTTTTAAACCATAAAATAGTATAGTTCTAATTGTTTACAAGAAATTATATCCATATTTTAGCATAATATTATATTAAACTTCCATTCTCAAAACATTATTTAATACACTCAGCAAATTACTGCAATTACATTGGTATGTACCATTTTATACAATCACACTTTAATTGCATAGTCTTATTAACCCTCATCGGTATCGGTGTTAGCATTCCGCTAAAATTAAGGTTATGTTAGGAACCACTTTTTCAAATAAAAATAGATTGTTTTGAAACTCCATATACTTCTTATTCAAATAATATATATATATAGATAACCAAAAATCCAGTATGAAAACATCTATTTGTAGTTATTATGATCCGTTGAATTTCGAAATCCGCGATGATATTAGCGTCCCGCTCGCACGATACTAACCGTGTCATTATTGTGTTTATATTACTTTTATACACGAAATTTTACAAAAATTGTAAAAAATGTCCGTATGGTTAAGTGAAACTGAGGATAATCACAAATTTAATGATTCTGATTATATCGTTAACAATATTTTTATTTTTGTATCCCAAATAATGTAAAAAGTGGTAATGATGAATATATATATTTTTAAATTTTTCCTATCAAAAATTATTTGTTTTTAATTTTTTGTATAGACAATTTGAATAAAAATTATTATTAACAATCAAATATTTGTAGGATATAACTAGATAAATATTTTTATCTTTGTTTTACTATTCTAAGTTTGTTAAATAAATCACAGCATCAAAAAATGATGAATGTTAGCGCAACACTAACACAATACCTATTATAATACAAAACATAGCGATACAGATGATGGGTTAATTTATCTAAAATAAAATTAATTAAATTTTCTCTTTGCAAACAAACGCATACAGAATATAAGCATATGTATAAAATATATCTTATGTCTATTAAAATTGGTGTCAACACATTTGTTATTATAAACTTATATCAATATTAGTTATTTTATATTCCTAAAATCCACTAAAATTTATTTATCTTAGGATCTTTAGTTTTGTTTCATATGCAAAATGGAAGTTGGCTTTAACTGCGATTTAAAGTATAAGTATAACGGTATATTATTATTATTATTATTAAAGCAAACAAACTATTTTGGTAAATAAAACCCTTTTGTGTACGTGTTTCAAAGCAGAAACATTTTACAAGTGATATGATCATTGTTTGTTTATTTATATTAGCTAACCTGCAAAATAAATCAGCATTAAGTTTTATAATTTATACGTTAATGTACGCATATTTTTATTACGACCATTACATTATATTAGGAATACATTTACAAATAACAATTAATAACACGTATAATATACATTTTATATCTTTATGTCAAAATTTTACAATTAATAAGAATCATATCAAATAATAAAATTAATTCAATCTTAATAAATATATTTATTTAGGTACAATCTTAACAAATAATATACTTCTTTTCACTACTCCTAAGAAAATATCAATACCCTGTTAGTTTTCTCTCTAAAAAATGTTATTCGTGGGTCAGAGGGAGAAAACAAATATTGAACTGATATCCTATTTAGTAACTATAACAATAGAACGTAAATTATAAAATAATATTTATAAATAATTTTAAATGTTTTTTTTTTTTTAACTTTTATGCCTAGATTACAATATTAACATTGTATTTATATATTTTCAACAGTATAGTAAGTTATTTGTAAAATCTGTAATGATAATTCATAAAGTAATTACATAAAATATTTGTGTTTTTTTTTTAATTTATAAATTAATTATTAAATTATTCTTTATTTAATCACTAAATATTATCATGAAAATAATTTATCAATCAATCAAAAAGAGTAGCAATAAGTGAATAGAATTATTTAATTAGAATAATAGTCTTAAGACACAAAATTAATAATTATCTAACTTATTAATAATATAAGGAAATAAAAATTAATGTTGAAATTATCATTAACTCATAACTCTTAAAAATAAAGTTCTACTTTTAACATTTAAAAAAAATATTATATTTAAATTACTATTATAGCCTTAATTAATGTTAAATTTTCAATAATTCGAATCTTATAAAATGCAAAACAAAAAAATGTATTAACTATATTGGTGTATCGAATCATCTGAATTCTAAATAAAATAGACAATATTTTTCTTATAAAAGCATTCACATTTTAAAATCTTATAATTCTGCTCATGACAGAAATAATGAAAAAAATATTTTAAAAAAGTTTACATAACAAGTTTCATCAACTTGGACATTGTACTAAACATTATAAATAAATTAGCTGTCAAAACATACTATTAATTTTATCGAACATTAAATAACTAAAATACATTCAAACTACTATTTATCTATTCATTTGAATTTTAAAGTTAATATATTTAGTATATTACATACTAATAAATAATATTAACTTTTAATTTATTTAAATCGAAATTAAAAACTTAAATATACCTAATTGGTATAATGCAAATAATAATAATGATGATAATTAATAATAAAAATGTTATTAAAAAAATCAAATACATGTAAACTAGTCATCAGAGATATTATAACTAATACTTATATACAATTTCAAATATATTTCAAATTGATATAATGCTTACATAAATCGTACGGAAAAAATTCAATTGAAATAAATAGATGAAAAAGAGCAAGTATATACAATACAATTTAAAAATTTTACTACCGTCTGATTAGTTTATGAGTTTACCGTCATATTAAACTTTTAAATTTAATAACATCTGTTTTTGTTTTTGTATAACACGTGTAGAAGAACATACGACATTCAGGCGTGTTTTTAAGTTTTTTTTTCAAATGTACCAATTGGTCTAGAGAAACAATTAAAAACTGAAAACAGATTTAAATATTTTTTTAAGTCTTGACATTACCAAATTTTTTTTTTTTTTGGTTATAACTTAATCAAAAATTGAAATATGACAATTTTTTATACAACTTTTTATTTAGTTTAAGGCAATAAAATCAAATATGTGAGAAAGTCAATGTCGAGTGAACTTAATGAAAAATTCAAATCTGTTTTAGATTGATTACCACTGCACTAGATCAGTATAGAACTCATTTAAATATCTAATATGCTCCACGTATGATATACAAAAACAAAAACAGTAATCGAATCCCCTTAAGTCGACTATTTATTACAATAAATAACATTCAAATCTGAAAATGTTTGCTTAGGACGTTAAACAATGGTGTTGTTTAAACTGCACAAGGTATACATTGGTGTATTAATAATCAAATATTATGGAAATTTCGCCCGCTTCTTAAATTGGTTGGGCTGAAAGTGGATTAATTTCAAACAGTGTTAGGTTAACCTTATAAGGCTGTATAAAAATATGTGTACCTATTAAAAAAAAAAAAAATTATTATATCACCGTCGTTAAATATCAGCAGTGATTTTAAAAAACCATATGATATCATATAAACAACGTCAGTTGACAGTTGCATAATTGTAATTTCTAAGTATTCATAAGACTATTTTATATATTTATAAATAAATTTCTGTCAAACCGAAAAGTAGTTAAAAATTTGTTACGTTACGCAACCATTAGACTCGTATTAATTTGGGCGATAAAACATAAGCGCCAACGTGAGTTTACCTAAGGGAAACGCGAGCTATGACGTTGGCGGAAGCAAATTGGTCGTTGAACACGAAAACAACAGACTAGTATATTTTGTTATTAAATATTATGAATTAGTAATATATAATTTTATTAATATCAGTGAAATATTTTAAATCTTCATAAAAAATCCACATCCATATACATGTGCAACAACACGCAAATATACAATATTTTATATTATAAAACTGTGGTAGTTTTGAGTGTATCTACAAGTATAATGTACTATTCACACATATAAGTATAGTCACTATATAAATAATAAATTGTGTGTATTTATGAATATTTTAACTTACATATAAACGTTCTACATATCATTATGTAGTTACGAATAATTGGGAACAGTGGCTGTTAATTGCTATATGTATACGTTTAAAATAAGTTAAGTGTTTTTTGCAGCTTTTAATTGTTCAGCGTAGGTATACAGTATTTATAACATCGCTAGATTTATATTTATATTACGTGTCAGTTGAAAAAAAAAAGAAAAAAGCCTCATTATTTGTAAATATTATATTGAGGTGGGCTAAAATATATTCTCATAAATTCTCTACCTACCACCCTTCCTCAACACACATCCGTCAATCGATTGTAACGCAGCTGCTAAACTTCTACAGGTGTAGATAACTACATAACTTGAGCTTACT